GCAGCCGAGTTGGGCGCCAGGGCCGCCGTGGTGGAGAGCCACAAGCTGGGTGGCACTTGCGTGAGTACCGCCGTTTGTTCGGTCAGGGGGCGCCGCTTTGTCTCGGCCTTTCGGGGGACAGCCTGTGCTCGTTCGTATGGCGATTCCGTCTCCCCGAGCTGCGCTTTCCTCTTTTCCACCCCCGCAACTCCCCATTCCGAAGCCGGGACCCCAGAAGGTGGAGAAGAGAGAAGCGTCCAGGGACTTCTCTGCGGCCCCCAAAGCCGAGCCAGCGTCTGCTTCCGCAGGGATGCGATATTGACCATGGCCGGGGCGGGTTAGATTAACCTTCCTCCATCCTCACTTGTCCAAGTGGGAGAGGATTGGATTCTATGCTTGACCGCGTCAAACACAAAACTGCATCTGGGAACATTGCTGGTGGCCTGTGTGTAGGGACGAGGGTTACGGTGTCGTTGATGGTGGAGGGTACCCTTGAAGAATATAGATCCTGGTTCTCGCGTTTCAAGGCCAGAATGATTTATAGCGGTTGTTGTCAACCTTGGCTGCACATTCGAATCACCTGAGGGTGCCTGGCTTCCCGGCTTAATTGGTCTGTGGTGCAGCCTGGGCTTTGGGATTTTCAGGTGATCTGAATTGCAGCCAAGGCGACCTTGATTAGGTGAGTTCTCAGAGCTTTTGTTTTGTCTTGGTTTCATGTGGATTGCAAAACTAAAAACAGACGGATGTAAATCCTGAGATTTACAAAATTCATAATTTTTGAAAATAAGGGTTTTTGTTTGTGTGTGTTTGTTTTTTGAGACAGGGTCTTGCCCTGTCACCTAGGCTAGAGTGCAGTGGCCATCATAGCTCACTGCACCCTCGAACTCTCAGACTCAAGAGATCCTCCCGCCTCGGGCCCCTGAGTAGCTGGAACTACAAGGGGTGAACCACCAGACCCAGTTAATTATTATTTTTTGTAGAGATAGGGGTCTCGCTATGTTGCCCCTGCTGATTTCAAACTCTTGGACTCAAGCTGTCTTCCCGCCTCAGCCTCCCGAAGTGCTAGGATTACAAGCCTGAGCCACTGCACTCATCCTAAAAATAAATGTTGTTTCCAAGTTATTGGTGTGCGCACCCTTTTCTATCACAAGATTTGGGTGTTGACGATTAAAATGCTGTATCCAAGAGGAACCTGGGATTCGGGATAGGTTCTCTAAATTCCTTTGGAGATTAATATTTAAATTATGTCAAAATGGGAACTTAAGGACAGGGATGGGCTTCTATGTTTGTGTATCTCTTATCACCTTAAAATCCCTTGCTCAATAAGCACTTGTGCAATGAATGAAACTAGAAATTGACAGTTATGAAAAGGCTGACTTCATTGTTAAGTGCCCTTTTTAAAAAATGAACATGGAGATGAAGAGGAAGGAAAAATCCCTATTAATTATCAACTTGCACTTTGACACCATAGTCCAGACTGAAGGTTAGAAGTCTGTCTCTCCAGAAGGCAGATTGTAGGGTCCCACTGAGTGGCCCCTCCCACACCTCGTGAGAGTACTTGATCACTGCTCACTTCGGTTCTGCTTGCCACATTTTTCTCTTCCTCTTTCTCTGCTCATGTTATAATCTGCTTCAGAGGTTCACCCACTTTACCTTCCTGTTATGATTTTTTTTTTTTTTTTTTTTTTTTTTTAGTTTTTTTTTGAGACAGAGTCATTCTGTCACCCAGGCTGGAGTACAGCGGTGCAATCTGGGCTCGCTGCAACCTCCACCTCCTGGGTTCAAGCAATTCTCCTGTCTCAGCCTCTCGAGTAGCTGGGAATGTAGGTGCATGCTACCATGCCCAGCTAGTTTTTGTACTTTTAATAGAGATGGGGTTTCGCCGTGTTGGCCAGGCTGGTCTCAAACTCCTGACCTCGGCTAATCCACCCACGTTGGCCTCTCAAAGTGCTTGGATTACAAGTATGAGCCACCACATCTAGCTAATTTTTAATTTTTAAATTTTATTTATTTATTTTATTTTATTTTTTTTGGATGGAGTCTTGCTCTGTCACCCAGGCTGGAGTGCAGTGGTATAATCTCTGCTCACTGCAAACTCCGCCTCCCAGGTTCAAGCAATTCTCCTGCTTCAGCCTCCCAAGTAGCTGAGATTACAAGTGCCCACCACCACACCCAGCTAATTTTTGTATTTTTAGTAGAGACGGGTTTCACCATGTTGGCCAGGCTGGTCTTGAACTCGTGACCTCGT